CCAGGTAAGGGCTAGCCGCGGTGTCTGGGAAGCCAGTGCTTCGCTCCGGCCGGCCGGCAGGGCTCTCCTCCCGCGAGAAGAGTGTTGGATGCGCGGTGCTGGCATCGGGAACTGCCCAGCAGCTTTCCCTGGCCGTGCTCTCTCCCCAGGTTCGGTCCGCGCCAGATCCGGGCCGAGTCGGCGATGGTGAGGAGGTACAACGGCAGCACCGGGGCAGCGCCTTTCGACTCCCTGCAGGTGGCTGACATCGGGGACGTGAACGTGAACCTCTACAACCTGCCCGACAGCTGCCGCCTCGTCCGAGAGTCCTACCAGAAGATAGTGGCCTCCGGCTGCGTGCCCCTCACCTTGGGTAAGGACCCCACGTCTCCCTGCCCTGCCACCGCGTCCCTGCTCAGCCAAGCTGCTTCTCCTCCTCCCTCATTCAGTCTGAACACGGTAGAAGGCGAGCGATGAATCTGTCCCCTGCACGGGGGATTGTGCTCTATCATGGGTAAATTTACAGGCACCAATGCTGCCTCCTGCGTTGTGTCAAAAATGAGGAGGATGGGTCAGCCAAGAGGCTGTTTCAGTGCTCCCCAGCAAGCACGGCCTGAAGCTCGACCGTAAATACAATCGGCGATGTGCTTTTTGTGTCCTGTTGAGCAGGACCCAAAGCAAGAGCAGTTTGTGTCCCTCTGGAAAGCTTCAAGCTTGAGCGAGCGCCCGGCAGCGTGCTGCTTTGCACAAGGCGTGATTTGGGCGCGTGTTCAAGTTTCCAGCCGTCGCAGCTTGGCGTCGCTAAATGAAGCACGTGTATAGCGTAATGAGGGGCAAATCATCACTTACAGCGTCCTCAGAAGTGAATCGAGCACCTATTTATAAGCCTGGTCAAGGGTCCCACTCTACGGGCTGCCCCTGCCAGCAGTTGTGCACCTCTGGCCCTCTCGAGGAGGGAAGAGGAGAGAGGAAGCGACCTGCACCCGGGAGCTTCAAGTTTTCCTTCGGGGTGTATAAACAAGTGCAGGATAAATGCAAGGAGGGCAAAAATCACCTGGGAACAAACGTAACGATCGCTGGGTATCTCTTGCAGTGTGTTACACCCTCTTCCCTGTCCTGTTGCAGGTGGAGATCACACCATAACGTACCCCATCCTGCAGGCCGTGGCAGAAAAGTAAGTTTCTGGCCTGGAGATGTACAATAAGGACCTGGGAAGGAGCCTTGGGAAGGCTCCTGGTTTGCCATCCACGGTGCAGGAAGGGGCATCGTGCATGGGATGGGGACTAACGTGGCCGCCCTGTCTCGACTAGGCACGGTCCCATCGGACTGGTGCACGTGGATGCTCACACCGACACCGGAGACAGAGCCCTGGGGGAGAAGATCTACCACGGGACCCCGTTCCGGCGCTGCGTGGAGGAAGGGCTGCTGGACTGCAGCCGCGTGGTCCAGATCGGCATCCGAGGCTCCTCCTATGACCCCGATCCTTACAAGTACTGCCGGGACCAGGTAAGCTCAGCCACAGGCATGTGCCGAGCGCTGCTTTCTTTCCCTGCCATTAATATTCCCATGTCATTACTATTCCTTTAGCTTCAGGAGGAAAAGAAATGTCTCTCTGCTGCATCTTGTCCCATGCCAGCAGCTTGGCCAGCAGGACAAGTGCTCCCGGCGCACCGAGCCGTTAGCTGAGCGGAGAATAAGAAAGTGGGGGTGAGCGGAGGGTGCTGCCCGCTGCAGCTTGGCCCTGGGATGAGGATTTATCCCGGCAGAAATCCCCGGCGGGGCAGGAGATTCTCCGCTTTGGCTGCCTTTCCCTGAGCGGGCGCCTGCGTGTCTGTGCGCCTGCAGGGTTTCCGTGTGGTCCCGGCTGAAGACTGCTGGAGGAAGTCGCTGATGGGGGAGGGGAGGAAGCAGATGGGGGACAAGCCGGTGTACATCAGTTTCGATATCGACGGACTAGACCCCGCGTACGCCCCGGGCACCGGGACGCCGGAGATAGCCGGGCTCACGCCTGCGCAGGTAAGGGGGGACGCGGCTTCGTTTCCCAGTGGGAAGGGGACTTTTTTGCTCCCATTAAAGGAGGTCGTGCCTCCAGCGCAGCAAAGCAAAGGGTTGGGGAGGTCAGGGAGCATTTCATAGTGGCAATGAGGAAAGGAACTGTTGAACTGCTGTGACGTGGTCTGTATAGGTTGGGTTTCCTTAGCTGCATGTGGGGAAAGCAGAGCCCCGACCAGTCTGCGAGGTCAGATGTGTTTCTTGATCGCAAATCTGTTTTTTTTTTTCCCTAGGCTTTGGAGATTATTCGTGGCTGCAAAGGACTGAACGTAGTGGGGTGTGACCTTGTAGAAGTTGCACCGATGTACGATGTCTCTGGTGAGTCCAAAGGCGGTTGAGAGGAAGACGTGTGCCTGGCAGAGGCGGCTGACCGCCGGGGGTCAAAGCGGTTGGGCATTCACGGCTTGGGTTTTTTCCCCCTTTTTGTCTTTCCGCAGGTAACACAGCCCTCCTGGGGGCAAACCTGCTGTTCGAGATGCTCTGCGTTCTTCCCGGAGTGAAGACAACGTGAGGGCAGCTCCCGCCTGCCCCCCTTCCGACCTCAGCCGAAGCTTTCCGTGTCCTGTTCCCTTCGACCGGTTGCAGCCAACGCGGGCTTTGCAGTAAGGAATAAATGCCATTTACCACTAGAAAAGGTAATTTCAAGCTGATAAACTTGGTAGCAAATGGGTTTGAACAGCCCATTTCCCGGTGTCTGTAGCTTTTGAGTTTGCCTGGGAAAGGAAAAGATGAGGCTAATGGCACTTCGCCTCTGCTTTCACAGCTGGAATTACTCACCGGGCTCACAGGGGCTCACGGCAAAACTGTCGCTGGTAAGAGGTTTCTCCCATTAGGATGCAGCAGCAGGACAATGAGCGTAGAGGAAGGGAGGGCAGCTGAAGGTGGCCTGGGGCTCGTTCTGAGAGTAGGGGAGTATCTGACTGAATTTCCTGCTGGGGGTAACGAGGCATCCCCTATGGCAGGAGCGGTTTAATCGCCCCTGCGATTTCTGAGCGGACGCGGAGGTATGGTCAGCTTGTACATGGAAACACAGAGCCACCTCATCACACATTAAAATAGTTTATTTTGGTTGCGAATCTGTAATCGTCTTAAAACAAAATGACATCAGTGCCTGTTCACAAATACAAAAAAAACCCAAAAATAAAAAAGACAAGTTTGCCAAATAAGTTAATTCCCCGTCCCTCCCAGTATCAAAAGTGCAAAATATGTACCTAGTTTTCAGTCCTACTTCTCAGGCTGCGTTAGTGTACTAGTTCCTGGCAGGCTTTCGGTGAACGGCAGAGCGGAGGCAGGCAGCCACGGACGGCTGCTGCCCACCGCCCATCTCGGTACAGGGAGTTTTCGTACAACCTTTAGACTGGGGGCCTGTATCCCTTTGCTTCAGCTTCCGAGCTGCATGTGATTGCTCGGATTTCACTAGAACAGTGCATTAGGACTGAATTTCCTCAATCTTTGGATTACAAACCGCCACGTGCGTAACAGAATCGCAAGTGTGTTTCGCTGACGATGCGTTACGATACGGGTCGAGCGCCGCTGGAGGCGGCAGGTTAGAAAACTATCGGGGGGTGACGGCTCGCGGCTGCTGGGAGAGGGAGAACAGACCTCAGGCGTAAGCAGCCTCCGACCACGCTCTTCTACAAGAAAGCGAGCACCCAGCGCTCCGCGGTGGACGCTAACGCTAACTAAACGAGGGGGTTAGAACAGCTTGGCGTTTGCTTCAGCCCGCGAAAGAAGTTTTTCCGTAAAACAGCGACACAAGCCAAGTTAGTCTGACCTGGTCAAAAGCAGCGAAGAGCAGAGTTACAGCTAAACAGGAGCTGTGCCCCCCGTCCAGCCGCAGCCGGCAGGGGTGGACTGCTGCAAGCACTCCTTAAACAAAACTCAGTCTAAAAGGAGAGGTTACCAGTGCTAAAAAGAGAATCAAAAAAAGGATTCCAGCAGGTGTGCAGCACATGAACTGTATTTTGAAGGCCACAGGGCCTTATTTTCTTGCTTGGGGCAGGGCTGAATTCCCTCGCTGTAGCACAACTAGGCACTTCTTTTAATGTGTCAAGGGTTTTCTCCTGGTTTCTGAGTAGCGGAAGAGAGAGCAGAGGCCCAGGGAGTATCCTTTTTTCCTTTTGCAAACATTTAAAAAGTTATGCGGAGCCTTCCACTGGGCTACAACCTTATTCTAGCCACGTCCTGCACGGCAAGCTGTGGGAACAACACAAGAGTGCTACGCCAATTGCTCCAGCCGAACGAAAATAAAGTCTAGCAGCGTCAGGCCAGCGTTTTGTTCCCCCTCCCGCTCTATTTCAGCGGTACCTGCGCACCTTGGAGCTCTTTGGCAGGGAGAAGACCTCGCCTTCCTTCCTTCCCTCTACTCTAGTGCCTCATTCACGCAGCAGCACAAGCTCAGAGTCCGCTGAGCTAGAATTAAGTAACCTCACATAGGGTCAGTTGGTAGCATCGTAGCCTTTATTTGGAAGTACGTTATACACGGTGTTTGAGATACCTGTGGTGGTCGAAGCACGCCAGTCTGCTCCCAGGGCGGGGAGGAATGCAGCAAGCCAAGGGTTTGTGAGCAACCAGGTCACGTAGGCAGTAAAATGGCTTGAGCATTCCCGGATTTCGCATGGGATCGGCAGCTAGCTCAGAGATTGGCATAGTTATTCCTGCTAACTGGCTGCTCTGCTAAGATGGTAACTAAGGTGGCAACCGAGTGAGCTTTTAATTAACCCCAGGTGCTCGACCACGTGCTCTGCCATCAGGTTCAGAGCCCTGTGGCAAAGGCCACCCTGCTCAGATCCCCGTGCTTTGGCAATGCTGTAGCCTAACAGCGACTTGGTACCACGGGGGCTCAGGTCCTGCGCAGAGCAGCGGGAGGAGGCGCAGCAAGTACCAGCCCGGGCGACAGTGTCTGCCCTGGAGCAGTGAAATAGAAGAACAAGCCCCACAGGATTTCAGTCCCGGCCGCGAAGAGAAACGCTGCTGCTTGGCTTTATCGCTTGAGGAGTGGAAAGCAGCCGCGAGTCTGCTGCTCGCCTTCCCTCCGCCTTACAAAGGGCCACCCGTTCCCCCCGCGGTGTTGAAAGTGGCTGTTGGAGCACTGCTAGAGCAAAGCATAAACCAAACCCTGCACTTCACGACTGTTCTAGCTTCACACGGACCTGTGAGTTCAAAAAGGCAAAAAAACCCCCAAAAAACAACGCAAACAAACAAAAAAACCAAGGCAGCAGCCTGCATGTTGAGAAACAAAGGTTCGTGGCAAGAAGGAAACAGGCGGGAGGCCGAAACCAAGCGTCTTAAACCCACGCCTAAACAAAAAGGAGTTTCACACCTAAGCGACGGTCTGATGATACAGCACTTCTGGGGCAACATTTCAGGAATACAATCCTCGAAGAATTAGGTTCCTTGATACAAAGAAAGGTTGGTTTGTACTACAGATGTAAGGGCGTTTGAAAGGAGCCCGGACCGACTCCCTAGCAGCTAGGTAGAGTTTCTTTTACACATCTACTGGCTCATAGCAGCTCACGCCTACAATCTGAGGACACAGTTAGTTATGGCTCTAGGATACATCGTCTAAAATCGACAGAAGCAGAAAGGCATCTGAAAAATCAATGTGACATTTAAATGGCTCAACACCTTTACAGTATTTAGGGCCGTGCAAAACCCCTTCCCTCGCCGGTTTAGCCGGTGAAGCTGCACGTGGAACTATGACACGAGGAGCATGAAACATGCAGATCGCCTACTAGCCCGCACCACAGGTGAGTCCCAGCTACAGGTTTGCTACGAGGGAGATGCTCCCGACCATACTCCAGATCACTTACCACGGGGAAAGCCGATAAAGTACGACTGCCTGGTGGGAGGCCTTTCGGAAGGGCAGGGCCTGGGAGGGTCTGCAGGGTCTCGCCACTGTTACGCCATGCACCATGGGCTAAGCACACGGGGAAGGGGAGAGAGAACCACGACCCGACCTGCATCACCGGCCGCGTTGGGTCCGGACCGAGTCACCGTGGCAGAGAAGTCACGGGTTTTTCTTCAACCGAGGTAAAACGAGAGGTGGAACGGGGGCGACTCGGGAAGCAGATGCGGCAGGACAGAAGGGAAAAACGAACTTCTTGGCTTTTCGGTAGTACGGCATCTGAACGCACGAAGGAGTCGGTGGAGGGAATTTTGGTGCGCTTGGCTGCGCTCCCGGGCGCCAGACGCGGGGAGATATTTTCTAGTCGCCGGCCCTAGGAGAGTTCATCTAAAACCTAAGGTCCATTCGTCGCGCTTGTTTGTGTGTTCCTGGAAAGAGCTGTCCCTTGTCATCTTCATAAAAAGTTTGTCCGTTAGAATCTCTTTAAAATCCCTCAGTCTAGTGCGGGCCACGAGGGGATATAGAACCTCTGTAAGGAACCCTCTAGGAGGCGTTCCATCCAAAAGGACAATTTGTGTAATTTGTTTTTAATGGATCTAGAGCCCGGGCTGCAGGAGGATTTCCCTCTGGCTTCTGTGTGTAGCGAGGAATCGTAATCCTCACACGATCCCAGGGTTCCCCCCTCATCCCCCGATCTGTGAGGCTTAAAGAGGCAGAAGTATTTCTTGTGGCCGTTCAGAGCCAGGACGTAGCCCGTGTAGTCGCGCTCAAGGAAATGCTTGTCGTACTGGTTTGGGATGGGGGCCGCATCCTGCGCAAACTCTAACAGGTACTCCAGCCATTCTCGGTGCTTGTCCAGGCTGAGGAAGGAGAAATGAAGAGAGCTGCTCCTGTGGGAAGAGCAGAGGAGAAGCAGGATTAGCACGTCTCCCGAGTCAGGCCGGATTCCTACCGGACAGGTAAGCGTCTGTAAACAAGGGCAGGCGCAGAGCTGTGTCGCCACGGCTCCTTTTGTAACCTAGTCCAGCACAGGTGACAGTTACCTAGCGTGCAGCACTGTCGTGCTCTCCATTTGCTGAAATGTGGGTACAGCCAGAGCAGCAGCAGCGCCAGACCTATCTGGCCACCTTCGCCGAGTGCGGCCAGGAAAGGCAGCTCAGTTTTTGGCGGCTCGTTGCCGCTAACGAGCGTGGAGGCTGCTTCGCTTGCCAGAAGCGTTCCCTCCTGGCAATCGAGCCAACACCGCGCCTAACTTGTCATCAGAGCAGCATTACACAAGTTGTTAAAGCAGTAAGAGAAACCCGGGAGAGGGCCCCAGCCTACCCTGTGAACGTGTAGACTTCCAGGGCAAACTTCTGGAGGAGGATGGTTTTGGTCGAGTTGGACAGGATCAAGACCACGTTCATGTGACCCGGCCTCAGGCGTACCAAGTTGCTGTTATAGTTGATGTCCGTTAGCTCAGTCACCTCGACGAAGCCCTTTTTGGGAATCCTGCTGCAACAAAACAGTGATCGAGTGAAAGGAGAACGAAGGACCGGGAGCGACTGAGGACCGAGAAACCGCGAACTTGTTCCCTGCCTCCTTACACCGTGCCGTGTAGCTAAAGCCAGTTTAATCGGTGCAATGGCCAGACTTGGATCTTTTTCAACAAGTCGGTCAGACCTTGACCTTTCCCCCGAGGATGCTGTCTGGGTAAAACTCAGTGGGAATCGCTTAATAATTAAGTTTGTGCAGCCCTGTCCTTGCTGGCCCGGGTCCTGGCTAACCACCACTCCTACTCGCCTCGCTGTGCCCGCACTGCCCCGTGCAATGACTCTGCTATGTCCGCGCAACTCTGGCACTTCTCTGCTGTCCTCCTCGCGCTCTCTGCGCGCTCTCTCTGCGCAGTGCTCCCCCAGCAATGCTTCAGCAGAAAATGTTTCTGGAGCAATTAGAGAGGGAACCTGTTACTCTCTTTGCTGAAGCTCGCGTCGTTCTTCTCGGTCTTTGCGGCAGTTTCTTCTTTCTCAGAGGGAGGAGAGTCCCTTGTATCACTCGAATCACTGCAAAGGAAGATTATCTTGTGTGTGTTCAAGGCACCAGACTGGATTCAGGTGCTGTTGGCTGGACCGTAAGATCCCCTAGGACGTTTTGGCGTGCACTCACCTGAAAGCCTGAACAATAACGGTGCCAAAGAGAATGAAGAGCACAGAGAAGAGCAGGGACAGCAGCGGCATCATTTCTCGCCTGAGGGGAAGATTTGCAAACAGCAGTCAGGTCCGTGAGTTGCGCAGTTTCTGCTCGAATTTCAGTTCCCGTCTACCTCAAGTAATACCATGCAGTTTCCCCAGAAACTCAGCTCATTTCCTGGGGTCTTAAGGACGATCAAGATTTTGAGCACTGTCCTGCTCCTACCCAAAAGGAGGAGAACAAAAATGGATCCATTTTAAAATAAGGTGACAGGGAAGCGGTGAAAAACAATAACGGATGCGTGCTTCCAGGAGCGTAACGTCCACGCTCAGCCTCAAGGCCAAAGTACCCAGTACTTGAGGCAGAAGGTAACATCGCCGTGGCGTCAGCGCTCTCCACATAAATCTCCAGAGAATACAGGCACCTATGTGTTTTGATATGTTCTCAATTCCTGTTAATAAGACCCTGGTTCTACTACGCATCTGAACAAGATAACAGCAATCCCAATCCCTATTGAGACTCGTTAACACCCAATCCGTACCAGTTACTATGAAACAAACTGTCCCAGCAGTCCGAGATGTAATCCAGCATGGAGTAGAGCCATCGGATAAGGAACATCTGTTTAAAGAGAAAAAAGCAAATGACAAAACCGCTATCCAGGACCCCGACAGGACTCCCACCCCTTAAACAGAACCCTGGACCGAATCGACTTTGGGGGTGTTGTGGTTTAACCCCAGCCGGCAACTAAGCACCACATAGCCGCTCGCTCACTCCCCCCCAGTGGGATGGGGGAGAAAATCAGAAGGGTAGAAGTTGCCTCGAGCTTCCTTCCATGAGCGAGAAAACCTTTAAGAGTCTTGCCTTGGTATTTTAAAATATAACTAATGCCCCTGAGTGACCACAACGGGACTGTCCAAAAAGGTAACACAGTTGTTAGGCAGCTGGAAGGGCCGTGCACTTACGGGAGCGAGTTCATCATTCAAGTCTGCCAGGACAGTCTCTGAAGAGAGAAGGCCGGGGTCTGTCCTCAGCTGGTCCAGGAGATCCAGGAGGATGAAGTTGTCCTCTTTGCTGCCTTGCCAGGCCTCCTCCAAGGTTTTATAGGCGATCTTCCCTGCGTTATTGCGTCTCTCCAAAATGACCACCTGGATGAGCCAATAACATGGCAGATGTCAGAAAGGAAGGTACTTTTTACTAGGCAGGTGTTATGCTTCAAATCGCTGCCCAGAATTAGGTGTTGGATCAAGGTATAGCATCCTACATAAAGTGATGTGAATTAGAATGACAGATGAAAAGAAAGGAGATGGGGGGGGAAGGAAACCCTCACCACTGATTTTCCCCGATACTTCTCCTCGTCCATCAGCAAGGTGTCAGCAAATTCCGGCTGCCGATCATTATAGATGTGCACAAACTTCAGCGTGTCTTTTGTGTTCGCCACAGCAAAAGTCAAAAATGCCTCATAAGCCTCGGCAAACTTATCGCCTTCTCCGGTAAGTAAGACCACACAGTGCCTAGGCAACACAACGAGATGGAGGACTAAGAGCCATTCTGGACGCGAGAGGAAACGACCATCCCCTTTCCCCTATCCACAATGATCTTGAAGAGCCAGAAACCCATCAAACAATGGGGACACCCAGCACGATCCAATGCAGTTGTTTCCCTTCTCCCTCAGAATCAAACACAAGGTGGCTTTAGGAGCAGCCCCAGAGCCTCGGGGAACAAAACGGGGGGACGTGTCCTCCGCGGAGCCTTACTTTCGCTGACGGTGAGACTTCTTCACGGGACACAGCTCCTGGAACAGCCTCTGGTTGGTGAGTCTGGCTGCCATGAGGAACTTATTCTGGGAAAGGAAGTCGTCGATGAGCTGCTTCTTCATATCTCGTGCCTGGCGAGGACAAAGAAAGCAGAGGTCAGTACTGAGCAGGATGAGGAGAGTAAAGCTGTTGCGACCTTCTCGTCTGAAGCCTGTGGAAGGCTGCCAGCCATCACGGTCCTCGCTGAAATCACCCGAGACGTTTTGAGGCCCTGAGACTGAGAAGCTACCTGCAGCCATCCTCCTCAAAAGGTCAGATGCCACAGCTGAAGCCTACCGAGCTTCCTCCCTCCTAACGGTCGGTCTCTGCCTCTGCTGAAGCCTGAGTTTCTGCTGAGAACGCATGCTCTTTACTCCGGAATGTGCCACCGACCAACCTCTCATTGCAAGCTCGGTCAGAAAACCTCAGCGTCCATTTCACGTAAGCTCTCGGAGAGGGCTCTGAGCAATACCTGCACAACATCAGCGGGCCTGTCGATGTGCTCCTTGAAGATCATCATGGTGGGAGTGTAGACGTTGATGTTGTACTGACTGGACAACTCCTCAGTGCCTCGGAGTCCGACGTACACATAACCAAAGGACAAGTAATCTCGGTATGCAAAGGCAGTCAGCTGGACGGGAAGAAAGCGCCGGCGCGTGTTTACATTAGAGAGCAAACAACATTTTCTCCCCCAAGTGTCTGTGGTGACTTTGCTTCGAGAATACCTCCTGCCGTTTAAATGTCATTGGGCACGCGCTGCGAGAGGTAAAAGCCCTTCCTCTCCCTTACTGAACGGCAGTTTGCGTTCTCTTAGTCATCGTACAGGGAGCCTCAATGGATCCACAGCTTTATTTTACAACCTGACGTTTGGCATGGTAGCAGGGGTTTCTTAGGAAACGGGCTTTCCAGTAACCCAAATTAGATGTGCTGCAAAATTCTCTCGTTACCCATAAAGGTTAGTTACATGCCTCTGTTGCCGCTACCTCCGAAACCCACCCGCACCTTCGCATTCACTAAGGGTACGTCCGTGGCAAGACAGAGAAGCAATCTCCTAATGAAGTCGGTCATCTGGCCGCGCCATTTTCAACCGACACAAGTCAACTCGTTCTCTTAGAACCGGTCAATAGTATTTAGAGGTGTCGATCCACCTCTGCTCACAGCAATATCGCATTTTCTTTTGGAACAGCTGGATTTATTAGCAAGTCAACAATGCTGTGATAGAAATCCTATTACCTTGTATAATAATGGCACAGCTGGCATATGATCAAATAGAAGGACGTGGGGCTTGTTTTCCTTCTTCCAGTTGGAGAGAAAGGGGATGTAGTTTTTATCTGTAATCTTTAAATAGAATCAGCACATTAGTTTAACCTCAGAGCCGTGAGACACGTGCAATGCTGTATGATTAGGTGTCTGAATGAGAACCGAGCCTGGAAAAGCTGTCCAGGTGTTACAGAAAGCAGACCGCGGGTTTGGCTTTCCAACAGGTATGCCTCATCTGTGCTTTTTTGATGGAAGGAATTAACTGAAACCATCAGTCTCGACCCCCACCAACCCTCTTAGTTAACCGCATCCGCTGACAATGCTGCTTCCAGTCAATGCTGAAGCCACTTTCAGTCTCACAACTGTTCATTGGGGTCATACACTTTATATATAGAGGGAAGCCAAGGGTTAACAGGCACCAGTGAGCTCCATCAAACCTGCTCTGTTTCAGCTGTGGTACCTCTTTGACCTAGAGGAAGGAGATAAAAGGGAGATCACAGCTCCTTTAGGGGCCTGCAGGGAGAGGAGAGCTGACCGCTAGCTCCGTTTTTGAGGAACTCCTGGCTGCGGGAGGGGAAATGGCTGCTTTAGCTGCAGAAGGGGACAGCTGACCCTGCTTTTGGGCTGAGAACTCAAATACTGAGAGAGCTGGGGTTGTTCAGCCTGGAGAAGAGAAGGCTTCGGGGAGACCTTATTGCAGCTGATCAGTACTTAAAGGGGGCTTATAAAAAAGATGGCGGCAAACTTTTTAGCAGGGCCTGTTGCGGCAGGACAAGGGGGAATGGCTTTAAACTAAAGGGGGGTAGGTTTAGACCAGAGATAAGGAAGAAGTTTTTTACGCTGAGGGTGGTGAAGCACTGGCACAGGTTGCCCAGAGAGGTGGTGGATGCCCCATCCCTGGAAACGTTCAAGGTCAGGTTGGACGGGGCTCTGAGCAACCTGATCAAGTTGAAGCTGTCCCTGCCCACAGCAGGGGGGTTGGACTAGATGACCTTTAGAGGTCCCTTCCAACCCAAACTATTCTGTGATTCTATACCCAGAGGACAGGAGGTCAACAGTCCACTGGGAAGGGCGGCCCTCGCTGAAGACCCCAAGGGAAAATGAGGTCAGGTGAACAAGGCTCCAGGCAGAGGACGGGCAGGTGAGAGCGCTGTGGGGGCTGACTCGGCCACATCGCACTGAAAGGGGAGGTGCGTGCTTTAGTACTCTGCCAAAAATAACCGAGCAAGGCCAAAATGCAGGCATTTTTTTATCTACTAGGAGGTTTTACCTATAACGTTGAAAGGGCTTGCACTGCTGGCTCCGTTTTCAAAGGTCTGGATCAAAACTGGATGAAACAAACAAGGGGTCTCTGCGTGGGTGAGTTTTAGCAGACAATGCCTACAAGTTAGTGAGTGGTCCTTAATTTGCTGGATGAAACCCCGAGAAAGGAGAAGGGAAGCGAAATCCAGCAGGCAGGCAGGGCACGATCACAGATTCCTAACCTAGGGGTAGCTTTCGTACAGCTCTGGCAGCCATAGGGTATTACAACTGGCACACAAAGTCGCTGGCGTAACCGCGTAGTAGCGGGATCAGCCCCTTCGCAAGGAGAAGCGTTACGGAGCCGCGTTGCGCGATCGCTTCCGACAGCTCCGGGCTTTGTAGCTGTAATTACAGCTCTCAAAACGCCTGGCTTCACCAGCCTCAGTCGGATCTTCCCGTGTTCGTGACACAGATCAGCTCGGGGGCTGAATTAAACAGATTAGCCACCGAAACAGCTAAGGAGAGATGAATATCCAGACAGCCGTGAGAAGCAGCACGTGACAGTCTTACTAGAGCATACCTTTTCTACGAGATTCCCCGGCAGGAGGTCCTCCACGAACTGCCGCAGGTTTTCTCGAATGACGGCGTTGTGGAAGAAGGTTATCTTCCCGTTGATGAGCCCCAGTATGGACGGTGTGCTGTGCGCACCTAGGTGATGGGCGAGGCGCCTTTCGTACCCAGCGTGAACGACTCCGATTCCCACTCCTGAAAAAAGGAGAGCGGGTTCACGTGAAAGATCACCAGCAACCCAAAACGCCTAGTAGAAAATTGAGGTTGAAGACCTGTTCCCTTGTCCAGCACCCTGCTCGGGAGTTATACATGGGACTGTCCCTCATAACTCTGTACTCCCCTCCTCTTGCAATCCTTGAAGACTGTATTTAAAACTCATAGCTTTATCTAGGGGGAGAGAGAGAACACACTGTCCTCTTTTCTTCTGTCCACTGGTGTTTCGTGTGCTACGCTAAAACCTCGAGGAGAAGAAGCTTAGTAAGCGGGAACTACAATGGCTTTGTCTCCTGCTGTCTGTAGAGTTTGTTTTTCTGGAAGCGCGGGCAGACAACATCTGCAGGGAAAACACGGAAGCTGGGGCTGGAGGGGCAAGTACAAAATACCTCCTTGGCATCCAAATGTGTTCAGTAAGTCTCAAAACTTCACTGTGTGGTAGCGGCCCTGAAGTCGAGGACATGCTCTGCAGGGATCTCTGCTTATCAAAGCCATCCAAGCGCAGGATGAAGAGCAACACAGCCCTCATGCTGGTGGCCTGAAGTCGTGGTGGTGCGATCGGCCCTCGGCCACGCCATCATTTATTATCATCAGCGTTGGACTAAGCCACTAGCCCTATGGCCAGGAGAAAAGGCATCTGGCTCTTGCGATCTACGGGACTAGTTTTTTCCTCATTTCTAACATGTAGCCTCATCGATTACGACGTTAGTAACATTCAGGAAAGCATTAGGATAAATCCCCGAGGAAATCTACAGGTTAAACTCAGTCCTCCAAAGCTGAAGGCAATCGCCGCAGCCTCGCTGGGCGAGGGACGCGCGCCCAGCCTAAACGGCCTCATCCTTACCCAGCGCCTCCAATTCCTGAGCGACTTCCTTCCACACGGGCTCGATGTGGATGCAGCTGAAACACCAGTCCGAGGTGATTTTAATGAGGTAAGGTTTCTTGAAACTATCTGGCACGATTTCATTGACATAGTGGGAAAAATGGAGCAAATACTTCTCGTCGGAGGTGTCGCGCCTCTCCGAATTAAAGGGGAAATGGAAGAAGGACTCGTCAAAATAGAAGCCTTCATGGAAGTGGTGGAACTGGCGATGCTGGTGCTGAGAGTAGCCCTGGCTTTCCCCGGCATCTCCGTAGCGATCAAAGTTCGCCCTCTTTTCCTCGTTGGAGAGAATCTGGGAAGTAGATGGTAGAACAACAGTCGCCTGAAACCGTGAGGGGGAACTGCCCTGACAATAATCCCTTAGTAAATAACTGCAGCTGCATAAGGACGGGCTACGAGGGAACGTGCAGCCTTTGCTGCGCGTCGGAGGGATAAATGTTCTGGAAGAGGGAACTATCGTATCACCTCCAGGCTCGCTGTGGTAAATAAGGGTAAAAAAAGCCAAAGCCCAAAGAAAAGGAGCCTGTAAAGCAAGACCGCCGTGCCCATTTCTGACACCAATTGCTCCCTGAGCCAGAACGTCACGCCGTCTGAGCGTAAACGCTCTTTTCTGGAGCGGCTTTTGCTGGTGTCTGCTTGAACATGGAGGGTTTTCTCAGCGCGTCAGAAAGCGCCAAAAGTTCTACCGAGCAGCCAGAAGCCCCGCAGAAAAACTGCATTTTTCGGCTGGGAGATGAGGATTTGCTTTGTTTCCGTGGGCTCAGCTCGCGTGCCGTGGACGTATCGAGTCAGCCGCCGCAAACTGGGGCAGCCAATTTCGAGAGCCACGCAGGAGTGATGTGCAAATAACTACTTATGCAAAGAATAATTTGAAACGATTAAAGCTCTGCGGTGATTAACATCGCTTACATCATCCCCAAAATGCTTATGTGTGTACATGCGACGCGGACAAGATGGCCACCCAGCTGTGCGGGGCTCGGCGAATACCCACTCCTCCCTCGTTTGAGGCTTTTTAGCGAGAACAGGGCGGACCCGCAGCAAAATATTTGCAACAGAGGCCACGCTGGTGTCATCCAGCGGCTCTCTGTCGAGAAAGCAGAGGAAACTCTTCTGGTCAGCAGTGTCCGCCTCCACAGGGGCGAGCACCTTTCCCGTGTAGACGTACGCAGAAAAAGCACAAAGCCACGTATGGAAAAATAAGGTCACTTAATTTTTAACGACAGCACGAGTTTAGCAAGAAGAGCGTGTTACCTCGTAGGCCTTGCTAATCTGGATGAATTTGTCTTCTGCTCCCGGGTCCTTGTTTTTGTCGGGGTGCCTACAGGGCAGAACCGGAGGAAAAAGGGGGTCAGCAGTTCCCGGGGGCGG